GCCACCCTTAAGCGCCCCCCCCCACCCTCAGCGAGCACAACAGTAGGGAGTTCGGTATCTGCGCCTGTGCTTCACCATTTTATGGCTGGCATTCAAACCATTTCACTTACCTTGCCCAAAAATAATCCCTGCTAACTCTGCTGACAGGTGACAATCGGCAAGCCAATGATATACTACCGCGATCGCTCTTCTCCGATATGATGACCATCTTGACGTGCCCAGATACTCTTTCACCTTCATACTTCGCTGATTCTCAGCTCATCATTGAATGCACGGAAACGGAGCAGCTGAAAACCGCCTGTCCAGGTAATGCATCCTATACGGTTCGATGCGGATGTTGGGGTGTGTCAGAAGGCTGGGTTTGGCGCGGACCAATCTGTTCTTTGTTTGATAACGAAGGCTGGGTTTGGCGCGGACCAATCTGTTCTTTGTTTGATAACTGCTGCTGAACGCCGCAGTGCGCGATCCGAAAGTTATCACAAGGATGAAAAGTCGTTTCGTCTTGAAAAACTTGAACTTCAAAACTTGTAAGCCTTCAGCCTTATGGTTCATCGCTGGTTACGTGACAACTAAAACTTTTGGTGGGGGTCCTGCCACGATAGGCCAGAGCGCAGAGCAATAAGGGACTGCCACTGCCAAGGCATCGTGAGGTACAAAAAACACGATGCGAGCCAGGAGATGAGTTTTTTCGAGGGGAAGGGATATCGGGGTGGATGAGCCACTTAGTATGCGTGAAAAGTTGGAATGTGAAAGTGGCCATAAATCGCCATCCAGGCAAGAGAGCGCAGAGAAAAGAAGAAAGTTGGCGCCACTAAAGGGAGTTTTAGCTCAATCCCTTTAGTGGACTGAACTGAGCGGCTAAGAGTGGCCCCGTAGCGTAATAGGGAACGCAACCGCAAGTTAAATGGAAGATGCGGGTTCGAATCCCGCCGGTGGTGGTCCGACTTTTGCCCACAACTCAGCACTCATGTGGTAATCTGCTTTCACCAACTGTTGAAGTAGGCAAGCGATAACCATTGATGGAAGAGGTTGGTCCCGCGCGAAACTAGTCTCCCTGACACGCCCCTGCATCCGCAGTGAACGACTACTGTATAATCAACGTTGTGGAAAACACATTGAGAAGCGTATTTGGAACCTTGGAAGAGGGTCGTACAACAAGTTTCCGATTATGTGTCCTGAACATAACACAGAAATATTATGGACGTCATGAAAAAAAAACGCTTTCAGCGCCAGCCAAATGTGTCACGGCACCACGAGATGTGTTACGACGGTCAGTATGTTGCTCGGCTACGATCAACACCAGCTGAGCCATCGCTGTTTTGGGGCCAATAATGTACAGCAACTGTTTTCACGTATGGTGTTTGTGCATAAAAATACCTCTGAACTTTGAGTAAACAATTTTTTTTACACTCTCAACAGCCTTTAAAACCATATCACAATTTAGAGGCTATAGAACAATCAAGTTTAAAACATAAGGAATATTCAAAACATGAAACAAGAACTTTTGGCGAACACCATGCAACGATTTTTGACCATCTGGTTCCGGGGGGTACGGTATATCCGCATATCACGCGATGTAAACCACTTCTAAATAACGCTCGAAGACACGTCTTCGATCATCTGAGAAGTGGATCTTTTTCGTATGCGATGTGTGCAGCTCCCTACCAGTAGAAGTGCAGCACTCCCGCTGTGCAAAAAAGGCAACGAAACTAGAGGCCTGTTGAAGCCTGGTGCTCTTTAAGATACTGCCCCCTCCCCTCACCTAACACGCGATACGAACGCTACAGCGCTGATCGCATTTATTGCTGCGAGGGAATACATATGATTGGCCGAGTGACGCGCAGCGTGACTGCGGCACGAGTATTGCGTATCTAATCGCGAGCGAGACATAAAGAACGAGCTATTACAACTCTCTAACTTTTCTGAAGCTCAC